AGAAGAAAAGCCTGCTATTCGCTCTCAAACTATCCACTCGTGGATCATGTATTGCACCATACTGAGTAATATGATATTTTTACGTGTCACAACATGTAATGTAAAGAACTCACATGTAGGCCTCCTTCGGCCAGGTTTGATCATGGATGAACATCCGTCCACTGTTAGCTCATGTTGATCGCTCGTCTAGAGCAGCGTCTCTTGTGACTAAGGAGACCATCACGAGAGTGACAGTCCCGGTTGCAGAGGTCACATATGTGCAATGACGCTGGTCTGTTGGCTGCCTGTTCCTTTTGATGCGCTCGCTTCTCTTCTGCCGCCACCGTCAATTCCTCTTCAGCTGTTTACGGAGAGTGTTTCTCCAGTCGGCACGATCGGCAGCGAGGTCCTCCCAAATTTCGGTGTTGATGTTGAGCACCTTCATGTCTCTTTTGCAAATATCCTTGTATCTCAGCTGCAGGCGGCCGATGCCTCTCTGTCCTTCGGCAAGCTCTCCGTAGAGGATGTCTTTTGGGATTCGGCCATCCTTCACACGGCGCACGTGACCTATCCAGCGCAACCGGCATTGTCGTAACAGAGTGTACATGGTAGATTGGTTCGTACGAGACAAGACATCGATGTTAGTTACCTTGTCTTGCCAGGAGATACCAAGTATGCGTCGCAGGCTTCTGAGGTGAAAAGTACTCAGTCTTTTCTATTGGCTGGCATAAGTAGTCCACGTCTCGCTGCCATATAGAAGGGTGCTGAGGACACAAGCGCTGTACACAGACATCTTCGTCTTCACGGTCAGCTTAGAGTTTGTCCACACTCTTGGCATAAGGCGAGCAAGCATCGTGGTTGCCTTTCCAATCCTCGTATGGGTAAAGCTCTCAACTTGTATATGAAATACATATATAGGAAATCTCAGACGTTGTTAGTAGTATTAACTACAATGTGGACAGGATTTTGTGTGTGTGTGTGTGTGTGTGTGTGATTCACGTATTATAGGGACGTTGTAACCAATGGAGTCCTGAACCTATAACGAAACTGGTGTGTAAATAGTTTGGATAAATGACCTAAAGACCGGATGGGGTTCATATGACCCTATCGGTAATACCAAAGTTAAATAAGGTTTTTACATCTTATTATTCTAATCACTCATGTTTGAATGATTAAAATGATAAAATATGGGGATTGTTCTATATCTTTTATAAAATAGCTGGGGGTTGGATCTTATACTTTACAAAATCAAAATGATGATAAATATGGCAAACTACTGTATACCGAATTTAAAGTAAAGTGTGTTAAACACACAAAATACATAATTACCATTAACCCCAACACAGGTAGAACAGCGTGGTGTATATACAAATAAAATCATTAACTTTCAATGAAAATACTAACGGTAATAGTGAAAGAAACAGATTTTCCGGTGTGTCAAAATCTGACGAAAAACAAAGTTTTGGAAGTTTTTCTGATTTTGAACTATGAAATCAACATAGTCATGACTTATGCCATCTGTAACATCAGGAACACAACAAAAAACAGCAGCAGATGTAACAGATGTTAAAACTTTACAAAACAACAGTATTATTATATAACTGAACTATTAGAAGTTTCAAATATGTCTACAATGAAATGATACAGGTTAAAACAAAAAGAATGTAGATATAGATCTTGTGAACTATTTGTACATTTTTAATTGTGACCGGCCAGTGGTTAAGCTGCAAGTCTTGGGTTTATAACGTTAAAGTTCCGGATTCGATACCATCGGTGGGCAGATCACAGATAGCCCATTGTGTAGCTTTGCGCTTAAAAACAAGCAAACAAATAAAATTTGTAATTGTTAGTGGAAAGATCGTGAAAAGATGAGTTGCCCCCTCGCACGGAATTTGTATTAACTTATCCGTGAATGGAAGAAGTTAGCATCGTTCAGTCTATCTATTTAATAGAAGAATATAAATTGTAATCTAATGTATGTTGGGTTTTCTGTTGTCTATGTGAGTTGGGGGAAAATGCGCATGCGTTTTAGGAAATATGGCAAAGGCTTATCACAGCGACTATCTATATAATTAAATTTAAAAACATTATCTAATTTGTTAAATTTCTCACAAAGCTACTCGAGGGCTTTATGTGCCAGCCGTCCCTAATTTGGAAGTTATAGGTTAGAGGGAAGGCAGCTAGTCAACATTGCCAACTGCCACCTTTTGGGCTATTTTTTATCAACGAATAGTGGGACTGACCATCACGTTATAATGCTCCTACGACTAAACGGGCGAGATTGGTCGGTTGTGGGATTCGAACCCGTGATCTGCACATTGCGAGTCGCGTGCCCTAACCATCGGATCATGCCAGGCAGGTTTTTTTAAATACACACAATAATTTATCGTCACAACAAGCGTTTCTTGTTCTGTGTTTCAGAACCAGTTGTTAGAAGTATGCTGCATGTCGAACATCAAAATTCTCCATTTAATTTGTATTCCATGGGCCAAGTGCACGTGTAAGAAAGATGTTTTTGGGGTTTTTACAGACGACAATTTGCAAGTAGCTACAGCTGATCGCGATGCGCTCGCGACTGAAGTAGAAAGAAGCTGTTATTCACACACAAACGCTCAGTGACACTATACTTGAACATACGAACTATGTGCAAGACTCGAACCATTAGTTATCACGTCTTGTAACAGCGTTGTAACGTTCAAAAGTGACTGGAAGAGCATAAAAAATGTGTGCGTATGTGTTTTCTTATAGCAAAGCCACATCAGGCTATCTGCTGTGTCCACCGAGGGGAATCGAGCCCCTGATTTTAGCATTGTAAATCCGAAGATTTACCACTGTCTCACCGAGGGACAGCATAAAAGTGGATGGTCAGTTTCTGTTGAGTCGTGACTTTTAGAACCTCTTTTGTTTCATTCACAGTGTTCAAAACTATGACATCGGATTGGTTTATTCGTTTTTCAGCTCAAAACTAAACAATGGACTCTCTGAGCTCTGCCCACTGCGGAGAATCGAATCTCAGACTTTAGCTTTGGAAGTGTCTAAACATACCGCTGACCCACCGAAGGACGAAATCGGATTTTGGAATTGTTGTTATCCGTGCTTTGAAAATGTCAAAATTCTAAAAGATAATAACACTGGGTTGCTAAGGAAACAGTGTTCAAGACACATTGGTTTAACGTTCCGTAGATAAATGGTAATTTTGAGGATTCCTAAGAGAAGCCGTTATTCTATTTTTTTACGAGAAGCCGTTATTCTATTTTTTACGATAAGCCGCTATTCTATTTTTTACTTTACATCAGTACCGTTCAATTGGCGACCCAATTATTAATCATATGTTAAAGATTATGCACTAAAAAATCAACTCACAAACAAATTCTAATAGGACGATCCCATTCTAAACAGTCACTAAGTAACAAGTCATGGCCTTTATATCGCCTTGATTTCTGACTAATAAAGGCGTCACGGTTTGGCAACGTTGACGTTATAAGTTACTTAAAACCAAATGATTTTTAAAATCCTGTTGATATACTTGTCCCAGTTTGAAACTGTTTGATACTATCAATAAAACAGAAAATATTCCTCGGTACTTATAGAGCCGGGTTAACCGAAAATTTTTGGTTCTAAAGATGTGAAGAAAACCAAATTAATAAAAACATGCCACAATGTCAACCTCAAATGAATAATTTGGTGTTATAAATAAAATTAATCAGACGAGACATCGAAGTTTTTTAATTGCACAATAATGTTGTTACGACAGCGGAAGTCACGTGACTCTAGTAACACGTCATGATTAATAATGGCTGGAGACGG